ATTGGAATAAGTTGAGTAGAACTAAAAAACTCAAGATAAAAAAAGAAACTATTACATCTTATTGTAAAGAACGCGGTATTATACAGAGTTGTGCTTCGAGTGGAAAGAGGAAAAAGCGAAATAAAATAGATCTCGTAAACTTAATTGATAGTTTTAATTTAGATGAAGCAATAAACAATCTTGAGCCAAAGTTTGAAGTAGAATAATAACTAAATTTTTTTATGTACTTTTTAAAGCTAATTATTTTTATATAATGTAAATTATTCCTTATTAGTTTTATTATTTATTAGTTTTTAAGTTTTTATGTATTTATTTAATAACTTTTTGAACCACAAATAATTTTAGACAAAGAGATACACATATTAAATAATAATAAAAATAGTAAATAAATATAAACAATGAACAAAAATTATTAGTTTTTAAAAGGCTTTTTTTCTTAATAAAGTTTGCTAGAAAAATTTTTAAGTTTAGCCATTTTATATTTTATTCAAGTTACTTTTGAGAGTTTTCTGCTAGGTAATATTTTTTACATAGACATGATTTGATTGTCAGTAATTTTATTTTTAATTTTCTAGTAATCTTGAAGAAATGGCCTAATTTGTTTTAATTTTTTTTTTTTTAAGATTTATAAAAGAAAAATATCCATAAGGGGCAACCAACCCCATTAGATAATGCTGAATAACGTTTTTTTGTAAATATACATTAACGCAGCATGTTGTTTAAAACAGAATTAAATTAGGAAGGCTGTTTAAAAGTTATTTAAAATTTTAATAAAATTGTGTGGCGAATTATAGATCGGACTGTTGGGATTCTGGTATATGACGTATTTTCATAGTGATTAAGGTGAAAGTACACCCAGCCAACAAGTGCGGGTGGGTCCCGTGGGTGGGTCCCAACAAGAGTTGTCTTAGGGCCCCATATGGGAACCGTTAGGGTTGCCCTCTGAGTTTTTTATAAGGATCCCATATATTTCCTGTTTATTAGCCTATTCAATTCCTGTTTAGGCTCTCTGGTATTTCTCAGGTTTACCCATATGAGTCCCCAAAGTCTCCAATTTATTTTTTCTTAATTGGCCGAAAAGTCTTTCAGCGTAAATTGTTTGCGCGACTATTAAAACTACTTGCAGTAAACAACGCGTAATACAGTTTATTAGTAATT